TTTAGGGTTCAGGGTTTAGGGCATCTCCCAATTCAAGCCTGGCTTCCCAGAGAACCCAATACCCCTTAACTAAGGAATATACCTTAAACCATAAAATAAGGCCCCTATAACTTAAGGTATATTCCTTAATTAAGGGGTATTGGGTTCTCTGGGTTGAGGGCTTCTAGGGGCGGAGAATTAGGTGCCAATGTTGCTGAGGGTTCTTGCTGTTGTCAGTCTGCTGGATCCTGCCAGTGTGGCAAACCGACCACCATCGCCGGCGTGGTTCATGCCAAACAGTTTGCTAGTTTTCTACCCCCTCTCCATTGCCAAACAACTGTGCTGTTGCTACTTCACATAACGTTTATGTCGCTCTTTGAGCGGCGCGAGTCGGTGTTCGTCCTTCTTCGCAGTGCCAGCTGCTAGTTGCGAGTTGCAATCGCTCGCAGTATGGAAGGCAGCAAGATGCACTAATCGGGGGCTCAAGACAGCAGTTGGCAGGTGGTGCTTGTTTTAAAACATGAGTCCTTTGCAGCCACAGAGCAAGCGATGCAGTGCAGTGTCTGGCGAAGACGGCGCATCTGCGCGAGCCTGGAACACAGTCTGAGATCGGAACTTCCTGCAAGACCAAAGCCTCACTTGGCCAAGCAATCGCAAAACCTAACGACAGGAGGGGATCCGGTGCCGTCTACTTCACTTGGCGAAAGTGCAGCTTTGTGCGCGGGCGTAAAGCGGAGCTGCATGGCAGAGCGCTCACTCAGAAAGGCCTTCTGGGCCATGCTCGTGCTTCCTAAACCTTCATGGCCTTTGAGCAGAAAACGCTTCAGGGTTTGTCAATGCGCACTCAAGTTCATGGCTCACTCAATGCAATCACAAAAACGCTTGGGCGTGTGTGAAAGAGCCTCAACGTCTACCTTCTGGCACCGATCCTCTGACAAATGGAAGACACCCAGCTCGGCTTTTGGCGATGACGTAGTCCGGGTGCCCAGGACAAGGCCCCTGGAAGCTGAAAATTCTGACAGATGGCCCTCACTGATAAGGGACGTTGCGACTGAAAGATGAGAGTCGCAAAAGCCAGGAGAAGTATTTGCAGAGTTCTTAAGATGTACAGACAAGAAGGCAATCCTACGACCTTGTAACTAGTTCCAGGCAGCAGGAGTTCAGCTTGAAAGAGCTGGATCTTGCTCGCAACGATGGCTGCTCGACACATTGGACAAGGGTTAAACCTGCTGGCTGATCGAACTCCGCTGAGGGAAGGGCGCCGGCAACCGTGGATTCTGTGGGCTTGGCTGCCTGCCATCTTGCGACTGTCGTGGTGCCCTTTCACCTTCTCCCAAGACTGGAATGAACATACTAAATACGATATTCTTTGTTAGCACGACTGATCGTTCGACAGACTTCGGAAAGTCAACATGCCGCAAACGTACATTGAACCGGGAAGCCGCAGCATGTGCAAGTCGCCTGAACCGTGAAGAATCGTAGTGGGACGTTGTCCACTCTGTGCTGTGTCGTGGTTGCCCCGCGCCCTCCTGACAGATGCAGACCCCAGATAGCTGAAGGTGATCTCCCGAACTTTTGGTGCCAGGACAGGATTGCGATGCAGAACAAGCCGTCCTTCACAAATGTTGAAGTCGGAACCCACTCCAGCACCTGACAACAGTCAGGACGACATCTTACCTTGAACTGCCTCAACTGCCCTGCCCCACACGCTGACTCCCAATCTCTCGCCCGACTGGATGTCTGGATCTACCGCAGGCACACCTGTGAAGAATTTCTCCCGAGATGACAGGCTGTGTCTCGCGCCAATGGCGATGATGCTGATGGCTTCACCATCATCATCGCCAGCAGACCGTCATCATCATCTTCATCCTTGAAGGCATCGCCAATGTCCCAATGTCACCAGTGCAACAGCATCCACTTCATCTCCACAACGGTCATCACATTGTTCTTAGTCCTGGTGCTCTAGAACATCTTCCTCTTCCTGCTCCTCCGCCTCCTCCTCAGCATAACCATCATCGACACATGGGAACCATTTACACCCCGATACCATGTTCATCCTTCAAGCTTTCTCGTTTGCGAACCATCTACAGCAATATTCGATGGCGGCAACAGCCACGAGCTTTGGTGTTGTGCAATAGTTGTCTAAGCTCCGTTGTTTTGCTGTTCTTTGTATCGATGCATGGGTTGCAGATAAACACTTCAAGTAAATACCATACTTTCTGCTGACTAAGGTTCCTCCTTCAAGTCACATTGCTTTCTGATGTTCACCGTCATTCACCGTCCCTTCCTCTTGCCATCACTCCTCCTCGTACTCTTCACTGATTCACACTGACAACAGAACTCTATCTCCCCACAGCCTCCAACGTGCTCTGAAGCTTCAAGCAGCCGTCGACAAGGGCATCCTACCAAGTAGGCAAGCAGTAAACTTCTGCATCCTACATATCAAGACCCAGAGACCCTCTGAAGCTCGGTGAATAAATAAATAAATATATATATATATATACATATATATATATATATATTTCCACACACACACACACATATGTACATACGTATGTGTGTGTGTGTTGTGTTTGTGTGTGTGTGTGTGTGGGTGTGGGTTTGTGTGTCGTGTGCGTACGTGCGTGCATGCGTGCATGCGTGCGTGCGTGC